CGGGCCTGCGCGCGCCCCCTCGCGGTCGCCTAGGAGACCAGACGCTAGGGGCTCATTTCCTCCGGGCGGAGTGGATTGCGGCCCAGGTGTGGTACACGTGGAGCTCTGGCAGTGTGTGTCCAGGCAGTGTGCGCAAGAGTTCGGTGTTCCCAGCCCAGCCTTTCCGTCCACCCCCACCCCGGATCTCTGACGGCCCCCGTGGCGCAAAGATGGGGGTTCAGGAATGATCTGGGTACAGGCGCTGAAAACAGGATGAGTCTGGAGGGGTGGACGGGAGGAGTCCGCGGATTCTGGTCCTGGACTGGGCAATCGTTCTTAGAACCCTGCAGAGATTTCCTTCCTGTCGCTGCGTAATGGCACCCACCCCCACTGGAGCCAAGATGGCCCTGTGTCAGGACAAGCACCCCGGCCACGGGACACCTTGGGGGCTCTGAGAAGGCGGGGGTGGGGATCTGTGGGAGAGCTCGCGGTTCACACAGGCTTCACCACAGCCTTGGACAGCCCTGTCACCTCTGCCTGCTGGGACACTAAAGGTGGATGGGGGCACCCCCTTTACATTTAATGCATTGATTAAGACAGAAGATATACGCGAACTACTTTATCTTTTTTGGGGGGGGAGGGAGAGGGAATCCAGTCGTGGGGCCTGAACTCTGGGCCTGGGCTCTGTCCCTCAGCTCTTCAGCTCAAGGTTAGCGCTCTACCACTTGAATCACAGCGCCACTTCTGGCTTTTTTCTTTTTGCTTATGTGGTACTGAGGAATCGAACCGAGGGCCTCATGTATGCAAGGCAAGCGCTCTACCACTGAGCCACCTTCCCAGCCCCTGGTCAATAATTTTCTTGTTCCTTCCACCCCCACCACTGAGCCAAACTCCTAGCTCATGAATATCTTACCATAAGGTGATTTTAGCTGCTTAACCTTCAGTTTCACCCCCACCAGGGAAGATGATGGCAATTTCTTGCACAGTGTGCCAATCAAAATGCCAGTCACTGAGGACAGAGAAGTGAGTTGGAAGGCTGAAATTGTGGTAGGACCGCAGGCACTCCTGGCCATTGTGGGTGAATATAGGTGCAGTCTTTGAGGAGGGCTTTCTGGCTTATCTTTTACTCACTTGTACTGCTGAGCTCTTCTGTTTTCAGGAAACCATGGCCCAGTGGAGGCCATGTGGGAGCCTGGCCCTCTCATTTTAATTTAGTTTCCAGGGTAGACATTCTGCCCCCCATCCCCTTTCCTCCTGCAGCCTCCCAAATATACTGAAAGGTCAGGATAAAAAGAAGATGCGAATAGGTAGAAAAGACCAGAATGGAGAGGATGTTGCCAAATGCCAATTTATTACCTTAATTTTCTGATCTTTTGTTGTTGTTGTTGTCGGTTGTGGGGCTTGAACTCAAGGCCTGGGCGCTGTCCCTGGGCTGGGTCTCTCTGTGCTCAGGACTAGCACTCTACTACTTGAGCCATAGCACCACTCCCAAATTTTTGAGTGATTAACTGGAGATCAGAGTTTCATGGGGACTTTTCTGTCCAGACTGGCTTTGAACAGTGATCCTCAGACCTCAGTCTCCTGAGTGGTGAAGATTACAGGTGTGAGCGACCAACGCCTGGCTCCTGATCAAATTTGACCCTTGGGTGGAGGTAGCTCCCCTTCTACCTCCACTCATACTTAAGGTCTTCCTAGAAAGTAAACAGGAAGGCCTCTCTGTCCCTGGACCTGAAGGGTGTTTTTCTTTTTGTGTGTACTGGTCCTGGGATTTGAATTCAGGGCCTGGGTGCTGTCCCCATGAACCTCAGATCTCAGCCTTCTGAGCAGCTAGGATTACAGCCAGAAGGTTGTCTTTTTGTGTTATAGTCTGAGTGTTCAGACCTATCCCCTCTGCATGTACCATCTTGTTTAGAAAAATGGAACAGTCTCTGGCTGTCAGGGTTTTTTTTGTTGTTGTTGTTTTTAAATTTTGGTCTGTCATGGGTCTTGAACTCAGGGCCTAGGTGCTGCCCCTGAGCTCTTCAGCTCAAGGTTAGAGTACTACCACTTGAGCCACTTCTGATTTTCTGGTGGTTTATTGGAGATAAGAATCATCTGGACTTTCCTGCTCAGGCTGGCTTTGAACAACGATCCTCAGATCTCAGCCTCCTGAGTAGCTAGGAATAGAGGTGTGAGTCATTGGCACCCAGCCTGGCTGTCAGTTTCTCAGTGAGGTGTGATAGGAGTTCAATGGGTAGAAGTAGGTAGAAGTGACAGAAAGGGAGACAGGAGTGTGGCTCTGCCTCCCTGCCACAAAGTTCCATGGTGATATGGGTAAAACCCAGGGAACAGCACTCTCCTCTTCCTTAGTGTTCTTCATAGACTTCTCCTTATGTACTACTTTTATTTTTTCACAAGTTCAACTCCAGCCAGGTGCTGGTAGTTCACACCTGTAATCCTAGCCATTCAGGAAACTGAGATCTGAAAACTGTGGTTCACAGCCAGTCTGGGCAGGAAAGTCCAGGAGATTCTTATCTCCTATTAAACCAGTAAAAAGCTGGAAGTAGAAGTATGGCTGAAGTGGTAGAGTGGCAGCAACCTTGAGCAAATCAAGGCAAGTGAGAGTTCAAGCCCTAGCATGGACATACACACACACACACACACACAGTTCAAATCTGAACAAAAGAAAATGTGTACATGGTCAATAAGTACATCACGATGACACTGTTTACATCAATAACCGTAGCGGTAATTAGAAAACAATAGATACTGAGAAGTTTGCCAGTTAAAATATGCATGAGTCAGTAATTCCCATTTTAGGAATGTATCCTAAGATAATAATGGAAGAAATTTGCCAAGGTAAATGTGTGAGGATACTTTCATAACACCGATGAAAGCAGAATCCCTCAACATTGTACTGGTTGATAAATTATGGTGCTTATGTAGGCAGAAATATATGTAGATTAAAGGGCCAGTAACATTATAGTTTCCTTGATCTTTCATCTTGGAAAGATGCCTTGGCTGCATCTCAGTGTGTGACATCCTCTACAGTAGGGATTTCAAAACGATCCAGAGGGGCAGACCAAATGTGAGAGGGAGTGGGCAGAACAGTGAACCAACAGCCTCTGTTTCCTGCCCCTGGCCCCCCCTGCCCCGCCCCAACCAGCCATGTGATTCCTATGCATTGTTCAGAGAAGACTACTCCTGAAGCTAGAAGCCTACTCTTTCACTAGGCCGGATGACCAAAGACAGTATGGTGCTCAACTTCTGAGTCTCTCTGAATTCCTGAGCTCTGATCTTGGTGGTAAGACAAAACGTTTCTGTCCAGCAGTTCACATGGTCAGGAAATCCCAGCATCTGAGTCTGGTGTGGATGCTGTTGTTTGTGGAACCCAGCATCCATTCTTCATTTCTCTAGTAATAATGCCAGTTTTCAGGTGGCCTCCAGCCCTTGGAGAGGCTGGCCATACTCCCTGGAGCTAGTAGGGTAGCTACTTTGGAGACAGTATTCCTCAGGACCTCTGCCAGCATTGCCAGAAAGTCCTCTTCACAAGGGACATGCAAAACTAGTGCTTTCATCAAGGTATAGCAGCATGCATGCTGCCACCAGGGAAAGTACTAGACGTAGCAGCAGAACTCTGGCCAGGTCAGACAAGGAGAAAGAGGGGATTCCAGACTCTGGAAAGGATTATACTAAGGAAGCTGCTTGATAAATAGACAAAGTGTCTATTTCCAAGGCTTGCTGAAGTGAGACGATCAAAATTAGGCCAAGGAGAGCTGGGTATTGGTGGCTCACATCTGTAATCCTATCTACTCAGGAGGCTGAGATTGAGAATTGGGATCGAAAACTAGACAGGGCAGGAAAGTGTAAGAGATTCTGATTTCTAATTAAAAAGCCACAAGTGGAAAGAAATGTGGCTCAGTAGTAGAGTGCCAGACTTAAGTGAAAAAGCCAAGCAATAATTCAGATCCTAGTACTAGGACACACACACACACACACACAGGCCAAGTGTGGTTGGAGCCAGGTGGTAAAGGGACAGTGAGAAGAAAGACAAGAGATGGTCACGATGGATTTTATTAGAGAGAACTTTTGAATAAATGCCACCACCAAAGAGTTTTTCTCAGAAGCCAATGGTCCAATTAACTTTTTCAGTTCTATGTGGATCCAGGATGGAGAAATAGACTATGTACACATACAAGAGTGGAAGCACAGAAAGTCTCAGAAAACTGTTGCATAAAGGGTGGGGAGGGGGGTGTCTAGATGAGTGCACAGATTAGTAGGCCAAGGGATGAAAGGATCATACAAGTCCCATAATTGGCTACTACAGTTCTGAGTCTCTCAGTCTCCTCTTCCTGAAATAATACTTCATCGGGTAAGTTTGGCAAGTGTAGTGGTTGAGAACAGTTTTCAAGCAGATCTGGATTTGAATCTGAGTCGGGCTAAGTGCCAGCAGTGTGGCTTTGTGCGGGTAAGTTAGTTAATATATTTATTGAGCACTTGTTGCCTGTTAACTAACATAATCTTTATTCTAGTTTGGGGAGGGGGGACAGCACTGTCTAGAGGTTCATCATTTGTTCTAGACCCAGCAGCAAATGTAGATCACAGGATTTCTCTAATGGCCTGGCTATGCGGGTAACAGCAACACTGACACTTTTCCAGTATGAATGAGAGGACGCAAGAAGAGACCTGGCATATAGCAGGTGCTTATTAAATTATTACCAAAATTACTATTATTACATCCTTTGTGTTTTTACAAGTTTTTGCACGAAACAGGCATCATTTGGACAAATCCTTCGGATTGAAAAAAAAAAAAAAAATCCCGAAGCGGGGGACGGGGGACGCCCGCAGTGGCCCGAGCCTCCGCAGGGGCGTGGGCGTGGCTAAGGGCTGGGCCACAGCTCCAAAAAGTTGACGGGGAGGAGTGAGTGGGCGTGGCCACGGCAGGCGGCGCATGCTCAGTGAGGCCCGCTCCACCGGGACCGCTACCACCGCCCACTCCGGGCTGGCCAGCTGCAGGCGGCCGAGACGCAGAGGAGGGCCGGGCCGGGCCGGGCTGTGCGGGTACGCGGCCATGGCCCCGTGGCTGCAGCTGTGCTCCGTCTTCTTCACTGTCAACGCGTGCCTCAACGGCTCGCAGCTGGCCGTGGCGGCGGGCGGCTCGGGTCGCGCGAGGGGCGCCGACACCTGCGGCTGGAGGGTAAGGTGGAGGAACGGCGGGTGTCCACACCGGCCCGGGACGCGGGCTGGACCGGGGCGCGGCGCGCACAGGTGCTCGCGGGCTGCGGCGCCTGGGCGCGCGTCGCGCGGCCACACGCGGTCTGGGGTCGGGGTCTGCGACCTCCGGCGGCCGGTCCTCGCTGCTTCCCTCCCGGACGCGCGTCCGCCGGCTCCGGCCGGGGATGAAAGGGGCCGCCGCCCTCCAGCTTTGTGTTGCTAATGAGGCGCGGCTGCTGGCTGGGTCCGATTCCAAAGGGCGGGTGTGGGGGGCGGCGGCGAGGCGGGGACCGTGCGCCCCACCCTTTGTTTCCGGCACTTCGCCCCGAGAACTGCGGATCGGGGCTGAGTTCCCCAGAGGTGTGCGCAGGGGCGCTTTCGAGGCGAGTCTGGGGTTCTTCCCCCCCACCCAAGACCACCAGTCCCCATTTCTGCAAAGACTCATGAGGCCAAGGAGGGGACCTGGAGCGCTGGGGACGGTGCACCCCACTTTCGTAGTCTCTTTTGTTTCTTCTGTGTGGGGCGGTCAGCCCCCCCTCCACCCGTCCCAAACTTCTCACTTGCTGATGGTGTCACAGATCTACTGGTCACCCCCTTCCCAGCTTGTGCCAAGGATTTTTGTTTGTTCGTTTTACTTTTTTTTTTAACTGCCAAAAGGTTTGTCACCTCAGCCAGGTTCCCCAGAGGAGAGGATACTGAGGAGTTGCCCAGACTTTTGCCGTGTACTTAGGGGCGCCTTTGACGTCTGAATGGTGGGAGACAGGGAATAAGATACGCGCGGGACACCCCATCCCCCTAGGCCCCCCCCCCCCCCCCCCCGCCCCTTGCTGGATCCATTCCTGGGCTGGAGCAGCTGAGGATCTTCAGATTCTATCGTCTTCCCATTGAGTGCCTCTCACTGAGCCCAGGGCAGCTGCCTTGTTTGGGTTCTCATGCCTTAAAACCCTGTACAAAGAGCACAGGCTTTGGCACCCAGCAGCCAGCAACAGAGCCTTGGCTCTACTCCTGGGCAGCAAGAGCCTCAGTTTCCTCACTTAGAAAGTGGGTGGAAATAAGGGATGATTAGCCAAAGACTTGGGCCGGGGGAGGGGGGGGGCGGTTTGCTAGTGTTGGGTAGTTTTCTTTCTCTTTTCTTTTCTTTTTTTTTTTGTCGGTCGTGGGGCTTGAACTCTGGGCACTGTTCCTGGGCTCTTCAGCTCAAGGCTAGTGCTCTATCACTTGAGCCACAGTGCCACTTCCGGCTTTTTTTCTGCTTATGTAGTGCTGAGGAATCGAACCCAGGGCCTCATGCATGCGAGGCAGGCACTCTACCACTGAGCCACCTTCCCAGCCCTGTAGGGTAGTTTTCTTGACTAACCTCCTCGGGGAAGCTCTGAAGAGCACACAGAAGACCAAGGACAGCTAACTCCTCTGGGAACCAAGCTAGTGCCTGTAGCTGGCTTGGCCCACATTTTCAGAGAAGCATGGCCCAGGAAGCCAGGTTAGGAGTTAAACGGCAGGGCTGTACTTAAACCCTGTAGCTGCACCGTGGTCAGTTAAACCTGCCCACCTGTTAGTGAATATGTAAGTTTAGACCATCCTTCCTTCCTGTTTGAGCAAATGTCACATTTTCTTATTGTTTCATTGAAGTCAGACATCATTGCTCTTTCATTTTTAATAGATACTAGGTTTCCTTTCCCTGTGGATATCAGTCTTGCTAAAAGTTTAGATTCAGATTGATTAGATAATCTTTCCAGTCCCAGTTTGTTTGTGACTAGTGGCTTTGGTGGCTCAATCCAGTTGGTTCTTCCCACTCCTTCCCTTTCCTCTACTTTCTTCTCCTTTCCTTTGGTCTTTTTCTTTTCTTTTCCTTCTCTTTCCCACTCCTTCCCATTTTTGAGACAGACAATCCTCCTATCTCGGCTTTCTGAGTGCTGGGGTTACAGATATGTGTTGCCATGACCGACAGATTGCTGCTTTCCTGCAGTAGTCTAGGTGACTTCATGTGTCAGCATCCATAGCCTGTGAAGTTTTCATGCAGTGGGTGTGGTAATGTTCTGAAGAAGTCAAAGTGGTGGTGCTGTTTTGTCCACCTATGGGAATGTGTTCTCTCTAATCCTATACCCCCACAGAATTAGGGTTAGACCTTATCCTAGTCACTTAACTCTCATGATGGTCTTCTTTTCCCTACTACAAGCTCCTGCCTTGGCCCAGCTAATCTTTTCCTTGAACCATCATTCTCTTCCTGGAGAAGCATGGAGGACTTAGCTTCCAGGCTCTTCCTAACCTAATTTGTGGCTCCTTGCCTCCTAGAATTTACCCTCTTTGCATGCCCACCCCTCCAGCTTCAGCCTGTGCCCCTCCTACCTTGTTCTCTAGCTCCTGATGCCTTTCATGCGCCAGGAACATGTATTCCCTTCCTCCTGGGCCCTTTTCTCTCCTGCCATCTCTACAGTCAGCTCAGGTGATACCTCTTCAGGAATCTTTGCTTTGCATTCTTATACTTTGAGAAAGTATGAGATACCTATCTTGGTTCTCACCAGACTTTGAACTTGGTATTTGTTCACTGTCTCTTTAAATTAGTTTCTTGATAGTCTCAAAATCTGGAGCTCATAAATCTTAGCTGAACCCATTATACTCTGTAGCCTTCCTGCAAAAATATGGTGTTAAGTGGTAGATTTTAAGAAGGGAGGGGAAGATGTCAGTACCAAGCTCTTGTGCCTTCCCACAGCAAGTCTTCACACATGTGTCTCTCTTTTTTTTTTTTTTTTTTTGGTCCGGTCGTGGGGCCAGAACTCTGGGCCTGGGCGCTGTCCCTCAGCTCTTCAGCTCAAGGCTAGTGCCCTACTACTTGAGCCACAGTGCCACTTCCGGCTTTTTTCTTTTTGCTTATGTGGTGCTGAGGAATCGAACCCAGGGCCTCATGCATGCAAGGCAAGCGCTCTACCACTGAGCCACCTTCCCAGCCCCACACATGTGTCTCTTGCCTTTACCTTTCCTACTTCTCCAGACTCCTCTCTCAGCTTCCTGCAGGAAGCTTTCCCTGACCATACTTCCCTAAGTAAGATGTCTCAAAGGTTGCTATGTCTTGGGGCTCCATTTGGCATCGTTTTGTTCAGGGACTGGTTCTGAGTTCCCAATCCAGTCTTGGTACTCAGTCTGTAGATGTCAGCCTCAGCTCTGATAATGCTTACAATCTAGTTGGGTATGTAGGAACACAGAATAGGGTCCATTATATGTGATACAAATAGATGTCTATAGGTCTGAGTTTCTCTCAATCCAAGAGAGGGACAGCAGGGTGCAGAATTCAACCCCAAAGGAGGGGCAGGATCTGGATGCTGGAGAGCAGCTGAATGAGTGACCCCCTTGATCTCCAGGGCCCATTTGTTCCAGGATCCTTGGTCCCTGTAGGAATGCATTTTTTTCCCAGGCCTTGCAGCCCTGCTAACAGGCCCTTCAGAGCTGCTCTCAGAGGAGCTAAGAGCTGGCCTGGTTTAGGTGGTCAGGTTTCACAACCTCCTCATTATTTGTGGGGCAATTAAGAGGCTGATACCATCTTGAACACAGTTTAGTATTTTAGAAATGAGTTATGGGCATGCTTTCTCAACAACCAGAAAAACAAAACAAAATAAAACTCAGAGCCCTGACAGAGCAACTCAGTTGCTTGAGTAATTAATACTGCACTACCACCTTCAGAAGTAACAATTTGTAAAACTTCTAGGATTTTAGGCCTCCACATTACACTGGCTCTTAACTTCTGCTTTTTGGTAGTGAAATGGTTTTGTTTGTGATGAGTAAACTTTAACCATACCAGTTACTAGGGGTGAGGTTTCCAACTTCCTCTGTCTTGCTGGTGGAGAAGCCTATATTAATGAAACAAGGAGTCACACAGATTTCTGTTTAGTGGCTTTTCCTGCAATGGGGAGGAAGGGACATTTATTGCTTTCTTACCTGAATGAGGTACCACATTCCCTGGCCTATTAATGTTTGCCACACAATTACTACTCCCCTCAAAAAAAAAAAAAAGGCAGCACTTCAGGGATTCTGGATTCTGGCATCATCTTTACAATGAAGTACAGATTTCCCATTTAAGGCAAATACTTCATCTCAAAAGGTAGGAAAGAATAGGGTGGTACTTGGAAAAAAAGAAGTTCCAGCTGGTTAAAATTTAGGTCCCTGATAAAAGTCCAATCCAAGAATTCTCCTTGGCTGTGGGCCCAGGCATGTTTATTTGATTCAGAATTGGATGTGTTTTCATTCACTTGCAGCTCAAGGCCGTGTCTGGTCTGCCTGTCCTGTGGCTGTGTCGACCATGTTACACATGCTCTTGTGTGTCCATTCTAGAAATCTTAGTTACAAATTGTTCAGCCCTGGGTTGACGTTTTTCTTCAGAGATGTTTTCAGAAGAAGTACAATGCTTTTTTTCCAGCTTCTTTTGCTTAGCTTATTGGAAACCTTCTTGGCCATATCAATCTCTTCTGAGTAGCATTCCTTCTCCCCAAATCCATCCATCTATCCCTGAGTCCCTGAGGTGCTTAGATATTGTGCTAGTTATTAACTCACAATTTGTTAGTTGTTTGAATGAGATCATTGTAATACCTTTTTTTCCTTTCAAAAGTGATTTCTCAAAATGATGTCCAGAATTGCCTTGGGAGCTTGCTAGAATGTAGATTCAAAGCTAATGAGACCAGAATGAGATGGAGATAAAGCCCGGGAATTGGCATATTAACAAGTTCCTGTGAGGATTCTGAATCTGTCTTAATGCTGAGACCTATTGCTTTAGTAGGAGACAAGCAGGTGAGGAGAAAACACATCCTAAATACTTAAAATCAACCAGAGTTTGGATTTAAAATGATTTCACCAAACTTAGGAATGCAGACTTTGTCAGAGCTCTAGCTAATAAAAGTGTCAGACTGGCTGGCAGTTAAAGGGGGGACCCTGGAGAGCCATTTAGACAGGGTATCCTGGCTTGGGTGAAGGCCTGGGACTGGAGAGAAGGCAGCC